CAATTTGTGTAAATAAATCCAAACGCCCAAAAGCACTTCCCTTAGTTAAGATATTTACAATTTGAGCACATAACCTACAATTTTTTGACAGAATGTGTTACCAACCAACATAATAAATTAAACCAGATTAACTTAAAGTAAAGTAAATCATTACGAATTATGAATAAAGTTTAAATCTGGTGTGACTAAATTTAAATATATTTTTTATAAGTATGTTTTTAAATCACAATGTTAAAACGATTTTTAAAAAATCATTAGTTTACAAATTTTTACAAGGTGATCTAGCGATTTCAGGTTTTTATTTTTTTTTCAAGTTTTTTCAGGTTTTTATTCTTTTATAAATATTTTGAAAGTTTGAACATTTGTATTTTATTAGTAATAATAATAAGTAATTAGTGCGAAAGATTTTATGCTATGGCGGGTCGGGCGCTCACAAATATTCAATTAACAAATAAGGTTTTGTGTTACGGGGAAGCGATGCAAAATGCTCGTCAAGCAAGAATTTTGTAGGTAGGTATATTCAAAATTATCACAACGCAAATCACGGACATCCACCGCAGTTTTGTACGTGCTGTGCAAAATTTAAGGGACCGCGGAAGATTTAGCGCATTTGTTGGTGATAGGGGTCGGGCTCAGGGACGTGAATTTGTGGCCCTTGAAGAACAAATTTTGGGCGCAGTGGAAGCAAATCCGAGAATTAGTACAAGACGATTAACTGCCCAACAAACTTTGTTACGTGGCGCACGATTCACGAAAATAGTTTGTATTGGAGCCATAGTGTTTTGTATACCGATGAGGCCACATTTACGAGAGACGGGATTTGGGCAGCAACTCAGGAACTTAATTGTAAATAGTCCAGACATTTTTACGCGGGTGCGCGAAAGCATGCTTCGCAGAGTTTAAGCTTGCATTCTAAATAATGAAATCATTTTGAGCATCTCAAATAAGGTAATACATTTTTAATTTTACATTTGGCAACACTCCATTAAAAAGTAATAGGTAAGGTTAATCCGCGGTTCCTAGTCGATCAGTGGCGTACTTTTTGGTAGGATAAAGGTTATTATAAATTATTTTTAGTCTTTGGAATTTAGAAGAAAAAAAGTTTCAGGTGCTTCTTTATGGACCCTAAGGAACTACCCATTTTAATATATAACATTAATTACATAACACCCTGTATAATATAATGTATGGACATATATGATTATTCATTTACGTATAATTGTCTTTTATTTATGGTTGTATATAATTATCTATAAACCCCATTTTGCCCCCCCCGCTGCCTTGTTTTGCCCCCTTTCACCTCCCGTCTGCTAATTGTACCATAAAATTAAAAAAAAAACAGAAAATTTGATGTTAATCAAACTCGAGTAATTCTAAAAGAAATCAATTTATCGAATAATAATAAGAGCGATGTAGAGCGATATATTTTATATAAGACACTGCAATGATCATTGCCATAAGTTACTTTGATACAGAGGTATAAAATTCCAAACATAAAATTATTTTTTCCTATGTTAATTAAATGGGAAACTAAAATAAAAACAGCGACCTCTTAGAGTTGAGCTGGAACGCCCACGTGTGGAAGTATATGTGGAAGTATGCGTCAAATCGAGCTAAATGCGCCATCTAGTAGCTTATGCTTATTTTTTATGCCCAAACACCGATAGCATAAAAAATCATGTCGTGATTTTTTATGCCATCTGTGTTTGGATATTTATTTTGTGCCACATTCGTACATTGAGAGAAAAAGTATACGGCCATTCCACGCGCAACGGATGGGACAGTTGCAAGTTTTTATTTACAAAATAACATTGTTCTATTATATTACTAATGTCAAATTTTTATAAATAGTTCTAATAGTTTTTATTTGGAAAAATTAGGTCGTGGTTGACTGTTTAATTCTTTAAAAATTAATTTTTTACTCAAAAAGACTTCTAGTACTGTTTTTGAATAAAAAAAAAATAATTTTTCTTACTACCTCGACTGAAAATACGTTGTTTCTTCCCCGATTCCACGGCAGAAAGTTTACGTTTTTTGCATTGGTCAAGCTATACGCGCACACTCTATAATAGCGGGAGTAAAAAATTTTTAGTCGTGTGTTCAACATATGCAACTCTGATTACGACACTAATATAACCTCAAAATTTGGGCAGGCATCAATATGTTTCGATATACACATTTAATTTTTTCCCGTATTTTCGGCCGGGTTGTATTTTCGGCCGAGGTAGTAAGAAAAATAGTATACACTACACGGGCAGAAAGTGTGAGAGCCCTGAACTGCGCGCCATGATGCCCTCGGCTTCGCCTCGGGCATCTTACACTTTCTGCCCTTGTAGTGTAATATACTATTTAAGGAATTAAACAGACAACCACGATACCTAAATAGTAAGTAAGTAATTTTGACAAATAAAAACCTTTTTAAACAACTTTTGTTTAGAACTACTTTATACTACTGTATTTATAAAAATTTGACATTAGTAATATAATAGAACAATATTATTTTGTAAATAAAAACTTGCAACTGTCTCATCCATTACGCTTGGAATGGCCATATGTTGAATCAACAGTTTTTGTGGTTAAATATATTTATGTATACATTCAATCCTTCGTTCAATTAAATTAACTATAGTTAATTAATTATTACAATACAATGTTTAACAAAACGTTCACGAATATCTTTTTTAATTGAACCCGGAATACATTCGTGATATTCAAACAACGTTTTATAAATTATAACGGTGTAATGTAAATAACAAACTAGATTTTAAATTCGCAGTTCGCAGGGCTCATACGCATGCGCAAATTTTGCAAATATCACTGTGAAGAAGCATGTGTATGCACTCAGGATATCACAGCGTGATAAAAAAAATCACGTTGTGATATCATCATGACTTCACCAGAAAATCCCGATTGTTGTTCGGGATGTTATTCCAAATAGACAAAATAATTGTCATTGACAACTTGTGAATGAAAAATGTAAGTTACTTACCACCTATTGAACGTTTTTTTAACAAATTGTGCAATATTGTATATTTTTCCGATTTTTTTATACTTTGTCATTGTCTTGCTCACGGCCGAAAATTTATTTTGTTCTCGGTCTCGGCCGAGACCATAAAGAACATTGTTTCTCTATGGCCTATACTAAAAAATCAAGTTTGGTCGGACCTTAGTGTCAATGCGGCTACTTTTGGGCTATTTTTTTTATATAATATATTTTTATAATATTATGGTAATAATAAAAAATAAATTATTTCCGCCAAAAAGTTATAAAACCCACGTTAAAAAATTAACTCCCTATTTTTATGATTAAATATGGTTTATTTTATTACATAAATAATACCTACTACAGGTAAAAACAAAATTTTTTACAATATAAAAATGCAATAAAAAATAAAAGCCTTAAGTTTTTTATGCAAGAACATGCCTAATTAAACGTATTTTCTCCAATAAAGACAAAGAGAAAAAAATAATATTTGGTTGTAATAAAAAGTTATTGAATTTTTGCCGCAAAACGGCGGTTTTGACCATAGTGCGATGTCCTATGACCCCTGTTTGGGTCTCCTCATATAATATGTCAATATAGGGTCTACAAGAGAAAGGTTCTTGAGAAAGGACAACTTTGGTGATATGTTAAACAAATATTAGGAATATTCCCCAACACCAAAACAAAACGTGCTTAACACTAACTGCCGGCAACGCGGCTAGGTACCGCGTTCTTGTGTTTACATATTTTACAATATGCCGAGCACGCGGGACCCGCGTTCTGTACGGTAGCAGGGTTTTTGTGGCTGAGTGCCGCCAACGCGTCTATCGCGTTTGTTTATTTGTTTTAGTATTTTTTCATATAAAACCATACGATAAGAAACGAAATAAACAACTTTTAGTCCATTTTTATCTAAAATTTCTAAAAAAATCCATCGGCCTTGCATTATGGACGGACTATTTTGTCGGCAGTGAACGTGTTAACACTAGAAGCGCCATATGGGTCATTTTAACCCTTTTCGGATTAAACTTATCTTTTGACCTAATAGAACTTTGGAGATGAGAATTTTTGACTTTTCGCTGATATAGACTACAAGTATGAGCACAACTTATAAATCTCTTTTTATAATTAGTTTCTGTTTTTTTTATGACTTCAACCTATTAGCGCCACAAGGGGTAATTTAGACCTTTTTATAAATTAGTGTACTAAAGACATAATTAAAATCGTTAATTGTTTAAATTGCACTAAATAGTATAGTCCAAACTTATAAATTTACTTTTTGTTTAATAAATTATGAATTCCAGCTTTATTTTCTTTCTCTAGTCAGCAATTTATATCCCAAAAAACGTAGGGTCAATATGACCCACTATGGCGCTTCTAGTTGGAAGAAAATGACGGCGCTTCTACAACTTTACAACTTAAATTAAATCCCCAATTAAATTAGATAATAAAAAAATTATGAATTCCAGCTTTACTTTCTTTCCCTAGTCAGCAATTTATATCCCTAAAAACGTATGGTCAATATGACCCCCTACGGCGCTTCTAGGTAGAAGGAAATGACGGCGCTTCTAGTGTTAAGTACCTTTCCGCCAACGATGTTGGCATCATCAGAAGCGAAGTGTAACTAAATCTAAATGCTAAATCTACCATTTTTATACTAATTATAAGCTAAGGTTGCCTGAACCGTAAACGGACACAGTTTACTAAACCGTGGACTGTAATCGCTTCAGTAAACACGTAAAGAGAAACTAACAAACCAATTTATACAAACTAGAGTTGGGTACCGGTCCGTTATCGCTATTTAATTAATTATATTAATTATTTTATAAATGTATAAGAATATAAATAAATCTTTAAATAGCGATAACGGACCGGTACCCACTCTAGTTTGTATAAATTAGTTTCTCGTTACGTGTTCACTGAAGCGATTACGGTACACGGTGTCCGTTTACGGTTCAGTCAACCTTAGCTTATAATTAGTATTTATAAATATGGTTAACTTAACATTTAGATTTAGTTACACTTCGCTTCTGAAGATCTTAACATCGTTGGCGAAAAGTACTTTAAGCACTTTGTGTTTTGTTTTGGTGTTGGGGAAAATTTCTATTATTTGTTTAAGAGAAAGGTTATTAACTGTAATGCGTGTGCCAAAATGTATTATTCTAAGTACACCTGAGATAAAAAAATAAAATGTAAATATTGAGTGACATTTTCAAAGGGGCGTGGATTTCCTTTATAAAGCATTTTTGACCACATGTTCTTAGGAATTTTTTTTCACATTTAGCACACTAGAAATTCGGAAACACCCTGTAATAATAATTTTCGTCTTTCTTTTATGACATGAAAAAAGCACATTATTTAATAATTCAAATTTTTTAGAAATGTCCACGGTAGGCATAAAACCAGTCAATGTTGACCGGATTAGCACCACGTGTTTATGACAGATTTCGAAAATATATATTTAAATAAGCTCAAATACCTGTTAATAGCAAAATTGCCCGAGTCGTTTCGTCGGGAATCGAAATTTAGGGCATAAAATCCCGAAAATGATTTTACCATTGGTTGTTTACTAAATAAAAATCATAATGACATTATAACAATCAAAATCAAGTCCTCCGCGCGAAAAGATTTTACTACTTGCCCGTCAGGTGGCGCCACAACGAAAGGTCAAACTGTCTACTTTACGGACATAGTTGCTGAACTACACATTGAGCTTATACGCTGCAGAATAGTTTATTGCAAAATTCTAAACCTTATAATAATGAACGTTTAAATAATGTATTTAAAAACTTGGGCTTGTTATGTTTCTAAAAAAGGGCGGATATGCATAAATTATTGGAGCGCGGTTCAGGACATTTTTTTAATTCTGAAGACTACCGTCTTTTACGAGTGATATGCAGTGCTTGCAAAATACTTATTTACCAAAAAAAAGGATCCGAATTCGTCTGCTGTTCAGATACCCAATTAGTCTACATTTCAATTTTTACCAAAACATACAAGGAAACAAAATAAAATAAAATGTCAGTGCAAAATTAAGCGAGTTCGTACGAACACCGGGGCATCAGAATTTTATAGTGAAAAATATAAGTGCCAAGAAAAAGGTGTAGAAAATCTTTGTAAAAAGGACTAGCCCATTTTTATTTCAAAACGCACAATTATGCAAATCTAGTCGAGTCAATTCAATCAGAATTGCCTCCAAAAGTTTAAAAACATTTAGTAACTGATCTGATTACAAATATAAATAATATCAATATTCAAGAACCTGGTGCTGAAATGCACTTATCTTGACGCCATGGTAAACCTCACACTCAATAACAATACAGAAAAGTACGAAGAGCCGCAGCTACACCAATCACTGATGGGTGTAGCTGCGGCTCTTCGTACTTCTACGAAAAACAGAAAAATGTTTGAACCATATTTAAAAGAGAAAATACGGAATCTCAATTATGCTTTGGATAGCTATTTTACTTCAAAGGAGTTTAAAGTAATTCGCACCGAGAAGAAGAATAAGAAGACAATCGTTACCGTAACATTAGTTTATTACAGTAACATGGACTTTTAAAACTCATTAAAAATAAAAGAGATGTAAATGAAACCCATTTGAAATTTGGAATTGACGGGGGAGGGTATTTTTGAAAATATGTCTCTAGGTGCAAAAAACCAACGCCATTGATGGACATAAACACAGATTCTCCTATAAGGATTCCGATGCAACAACCAAGTTGAAGAACAGTGTTGTTAAAATGTTATTTCTACTGAGAATAACTGCTAATACGGAAGAAAGTTATGAAAATGTGTTGATTTTATGGTCACTCCTAAATATAAACAATTTAATATAATGCAACGATAGCCACAGAGTTCTTACAGGTAATTCTTTTTTTTTAAATAAATACATGTCCACACCGATGACTACAGTCGCCAATTTAAAACCCGATTGGTTCAAATAACAGTGAATATTGAAATCAGCCAATCCCTGATGCCTAACGACGTGAATAATGAGTTCAATATTCCCGTTGTTAGGCCGGGCGGTTATATTGGTTACCATTATTTACGAAAAAAGCCCAAATAATGTCAATAATATGCAATAGTAGTAGAAAAACATTTGTATAATTACTGTTAAAATGTTTATTTATTTACTAAATACCCATTCAGATAGAAAAATAACAACGAAGACTTTATCTACAGTTTTGCGTACACGTTATATCGCGAGAAAAATCATGTCAATAAGTAACTGCCTTAAATTATTTTAAGGAACTTTTCCATTTATAAACTGCTTGGAAACTAAAATTAATCATTTTTTGCTCTAAATTTCAATCTCCAATGAAACGGCTTGAGCGATTTTACTACAAACCTGGATTTGGGCTTATTTTAATATAATATATTAAAATAGGCCCAAATCCACGTATTTTTGACGGATTTTGAATATATATTATATATTCAAAATTCGTCAAAAATACGTGGTACTAATCCGGTCAATCTGGACTGGTTTCAGGCCTACCGTTGGTCGCTTTGCAATATGGTTTTGGAACGAACATTTACTTCTCTTGGTATAATCTTTAAATTTACTAACTCATATGAATTTCTTAAATTTAATAGAACAATAATTTGGTAAAGCTTTTATCTGTGTCTCGCAAGACGTTATTTTGAATAAATACAATATTACAATACCTACTTCTAACTTTATAACAATTTTTTTAATAAAAATAAATAAATATACTTACTATAACCATCGTCTTGGTCACTAGGAGCAACAAAGGAACACAAAATACTAACTGTTGTTTTTCCTCTAACAAGTTCAACTTTAAATGATGGTTTGGATTTAAGTTCACCAATTTCTGGTTTATCAAGGTTTTCATGTAGCTCAGGCTCTGCATCTGCATCCACTGTATGATTTACATTAAAATAAATTTTCACCCTAAAATAGAAGTTTCCCTTAACATGCCATGTCTTACAATAAGTTTGATAAAAATTGTATAATACAGTAAATAATGATATAAATTAAATAATATTATATTATTATAGATAATGCAGGTTATTATTAACGAGGATGAGGCAGTAGCTGAATTTTGGGTATACCAATATTTCAGTTATTAGACATGGGACCCACACCAAATTTATATTAGTTGATAATGACATTAAATAGACAAGTTCGGCGCAAACAGAATTTACATTGAAGTTTGCGAAAAAAAGTTAGTTTTTCCTGTCGCCTCACCCCCTCCAGGCCCCCCTATTTAAGATAATTCAAATTAAGGTGTTGCAATTTATTATATACTATAATTTATCGACAAATTTAAAATTTTATTAAAAAAATCTAAATATTAGAGGTTTTACACCATTTTAAATATTTTTTTATTTTAACAAACTAAATAATAAAAATTTAAAATCGAATAAAATCTGTAATATTTGGATTTTTTAAATAAAGTTTTAAATTTGTCGATAAATTATAGTAGATAATAAATTGCACCACTTTAATTTGAATTATCTCAAATAGGGGGGCCTGGAGGCAGGTGAGCCGACAGGAAAAACTAACTTTTTTCGCAAAATTCAATTTAAATTCTGTTTGCGCCGAACTTGTCTATTTAATGTCATTATAAACTATTATAAATTTGGTGTGGGTCCCATGTCTAATAACTGAGATATTGGTATACATAAAACCCAACAGCCGCCACTGGGATGGGGTTTGCGTCTTGAGTCGCCAGATGAGAGACAAATCATCCTAGTAAATAATGCGCATAATCTCGAGTGTAATACTATACTTTATATACTCCAAGAATTAGATAATTAAATAATTTTTAAAAATAATTAAATACAATCTGTCAAATGGTTAACCTTACTTTTTACCAATTTTAAATGTTATTATAGTCACCTTCTCCCAATTGAAAACCCGATTGGTTCAAATTACAGTAAATATTGAAATCGACCAATCACTGATGCCTAACATCGTGAATAATAAGTGCATTATTCCCGTTGATAGGCAGGGAATTTATAATGTTTATCGTTATTCTCGAAAAAAAAACAATATTATTATAATAATATAATAATAATATATAAAATAATATAAATAATTATACTTGTCAACAGCAATTTTTATCCCATAGAAAAATAGTATTCCGGACATTTAACAGAACTAACAGAATTAACTTTAATTCTTATGTAAAATTGTCTGCTGAATCAAAAAATGACAAATGTCAAAAGTTATGAAAGTATAATAGCTAATAATGCAATAAGTTTCAAAAAGAGAGTCTTTTTACTATTAAGAAATTTCGAGTTTCATGTTATTTTAATTTTGAAATATTATTGTAATGAATAAGCTCGACATAGTAACCATCTCCCAAAGAGATTTAAGCCGGCGCGCCGCGGCGCATAGGCTGGCTTAAGTCATCCCTTAAGTTTGCAACGGTCACAACTTTTTTTAATAAAGTTTTTTGTGATGAAACAGTGTTTTCTTGTGCAATTATTTTACGTTCCCAATTACTCATATGGTTAATCAATAATAAAAAACTGAACAGTTTCGTGGTCCTTCGAGCCGGATATGGATTAAGGAAGCGATATCAATTTCTACAACATGGTGGTCAGTCCGTCACATTGGGACAACTAAGTCAGACACATTGAGACAACATAGCCCTTCGCATTAGAAAAAAGCAGTGAGTCCTTTAAATTTTCCTACTTGCGTTTAATTTACTTACCTGGCCAAGACCTTCATTGATACATTACATTTACTATTCTATGAAAAACGAATTTAAGTTGTAACGGGTATTTGCTACTTATATTGTCAAGACATTTTATTCATTTCAATTTCGATAATCAACAGACGCACAATGTCTGAATCAGACCAATTATCAGAACAAACAATAACAAGCAAGTTTATGCAACTCATAGTGATATTAAAGTATCTGATTTTTATTATACAAATAATGTAAATTTAAATAACTGTCAGAATTATCAGAACAAACAATAACAAGCAAGTTTATGCAACTCATAGTGATATTAAAGTATCTGATTTTTATTATACAAATAATGTAAATTTAAATAACTGTTTTATTTTTTAGAGTGATGTTTTTAATGAGTTATTGCAACTAAATGTTTTAAAAGGTGCCGGTCCTTCTATACTTGAGGAATGTAGATTTTCTCTTTCAAAACCAATATCACATCTTTTTAATTTATCTATGAAAAAAATCTGAGTGTGCGGCCATATGGAAGGAGACTTATATTATACCGCTTTACAAAAGTGGAAGAAAAGCAATGTAAATAATTACAAATAAAATATCATTATTAATGAGCATCATGGATTCTGTAAGGGAAAGTCTACAGCCACTAATTTGGTACTCAGGCTCACAGACTTTTCCAAGGCATTTGATACCGTAAATCATAGGATATTACTATCAAAACTTAAAGCATTGGGAATAACGGGGAACTTATATTATTGGCTTGAGAGTTACTTAAACCATAGGACTCAAAAAGTTATCACAAACAACCACTATAAATCTAAAATAATTCATGTTACATGATGTAACTTACATCTGTTGTTTTACAAGGTGGTCATCTATATCCACAATTATTTAATTGTTTTATTAATGATATATGATCCAATTAAAAATATTGTAAGTACTTACTCTTTGCTGATAATCTAAAATTCTACAAAGAAGTTAAAGACATAAAACATTGCTGTGATATTCAAGAAGACAAAAAATTTCAAATCTGGTGCAAAAATACTTTTATGAAACTAAATGAAAATAAATGTACCTAAAGTTATTAATTTTTATAGATTAATAAATTATGTTTAATTTCCGTAGGTACTGTAAGTCTCATTAAATATCGCTATAGGTAACTACCATTTCTCTGCAAAAGTCTTATTAAGTCTTATTAACTCTTCCAGAAGACTTATTCTGACTTTTACGGAATTAATAAGTTTTTGGAAATAAAGAAATCGAAAACGCTGCAAGGAAATTTTGAATTCAATATGAACGACTTGAAAATCAAAGCAACCAAAGTAAATGATCTAATTAAATTACATCCGACGTGGATTAGTTAGCTGAGCAATTATCTCAGGTATCACAACGGCCTTATTTAACTCAAGAACTCATAATATCAGTAAAAATTCCCCAAATAAATTTTCCCAAATTTGACGGTGAAATAGACAGTTGGCAATAAATTTTAATATCTTAAGTCATCTGTGGTCAACACTGCACGTAGCATTATCCAATCATTAGAAACAATCATCGTCCATTATATTTATTCATATTAAAAAATTGTTGATTTTATACAAATAAACAAGGAAACATTTGGCGTTTTAAGAAATTTAACGGTTTCCCTTAATAATAACATTTTTATGTTGACGATATTCTGACCGGAACAAATACGATTGATGAGGCCATTGGATTAAAAAAAAATAACTGTAATCCTTACTATACATGGATTTAAGTTACGAAAATGGGCGTCCAATGAAACCTTAATTGTCTCCAGCAATGCGTAAGACAATACACGCGATTATTTTATTTAAAAATTATTATGACAATAACAATACGGTAAAATCCTTTGGCATAAATTTAGATGAACAGATCTTATTGGATGCATGAAAGAAGCGAGGCTGTCAGAAAGCAAGCCAATCACAAAAAGAACAATTTTATTATTAATCTCCATAATATTTGACCCGCTAGGTTAACCCGTTAACGATAAACGCGTGAATTTTGGCAAACCAAGGTTAAATGGGACGATCCCGTTCCTCTAAAGTTAAAAAACGCGTGGTCTAATAATTATTACATAAAGGAATTGCAAGCTGTGTACAATTACGATTCCAAGATTTGTTTTACTACCAGAATGTGAGGGTATTGAACTGCATGGGTTCCACGAGTTTCCAGTGAGGCGGCATATGGTTGTGCTAGTTATTTGCAAAGAATTCCGCAAATTTATAACTCGACATTTAAAAAACTCACTGCATACATTTTATGATTTACCACTAATTGTCGGCAAGATAATCAAACCTATGGTCCTCTAGACAATGACAAAATTTAAAGTGTTGGTGGCCGGCTCAGACAAGCTGACATTCCGTATGAAACCCAATCCTGTTACTCACAAAACAAACTTATGGAATTTATTATAAGAAATCTCCATAAAAATTATTTGCATGCAGGTTAGCAGCAATATTACGATTACGGTACTGGCCAATATCGGCAACTAGGGCTGCCCTAGTAGGGCATCGACATCGGCATCGACATCGTTTAATGAGTTATGAAAAGTCTTGTTTTTATTCATGTATAAAATGTTTTAACAAATTACCATACAGCATTAAGTCATTAAATACTTTTAGTCATTTTAAAAAACGTGTTTTTGAATATTTGTTGTTAATTGAGCCGTACACTTTCAATGAGTTTTTACTTCATTAAATTATTTTCGCCCTTTTAATATTATAATATAGGTAATTTATTATTTGTATTGTAATTTTTTTTTTAAATAGTGCTGAATGTGAACAGCATAACGCGGAAAACCAACCACGGCTTATGTACGTAGCGTTGTTAATATATTTTTATCACAAAGGCTGTTTATCTAGAATTAGTTCACGATTTGTCCACTGAGTTTTTAAATATGCTTAAACTACATTTGTGTCAAGACGCGGAAAACCAACCGATCTCTACTCCGATAACTACTAATTTCACCGGTGCACTTAATGAATTAAAAATGCTTTATGATTTTATTTGGGCGAATTTTTGTTAAATGTACATTTTGTGATAGAACAGTGTAATATACTGCAAAAAAATTCTATAAGTTTATAAATAACAAAAATAAACTTTAAAGAAATAAAACTTATAGGGTTAATCTGAAATAGGGAAGGAACACAAGGAAGAAATGAAACATTGTCCTCCTCCTGACGCATCTTCCTGAACGTTTATGACACATTGCTTTTGACTTTTTCAAACGTTATTTTTCAGAAATACTGTTAAATGTAAATATCTTTCGGCATTTGTTTTTTAATTTCTACTATGCTATAATACAAAATAAAAATAAAAAAGTTAACTTCTAAAACAAGAGTTGAATGTAGCGTTTTGTAAAAGACACCAAAAGTGTACGCAAAAAAATCTTACCTTTAAAATATTTACAAAAAAATTCACAAACTTTAGACGTGCTCACTGTTTGTTGCCAAACTATCAAACATGTATGCCCTCTAGAAATAACACGATAGTATCCCTATCTCGTGTCTCTATTTCGAAGCAGTCGGCATAGAAGACGACGTTAGGAAAAAGACAAGATTTTTGAATGTCAACTTTAACATTTTTTTCTGTTTAAACTACTTTGTAGAAAACTATTTTATTTTTATATACGAATAAAAGAACTTTCCATTGTTCAAAAATAATTTATTTTTTCAAAAGAAACCTGCAAAGAAGAAGAATATAATAATTTAAATTAAAAAATCGCCTCTGGGGACAGTTAGGTTACAGGACATTTCACCTAGTTTTTCTGCCATATATAGAAACATAAAGTAATTAAAAAAAAAAATACGATGGGTCCTAACAGGAAGGGGGTATTTAAATATAATAAATACAAAAATTATCAACAAAGGTCAAAAATAAAAATAAAATTAGCCGGGGACAGCAAATGTACATTTAACGAAAATTTGCCCATTTGTCGACAAGGTGTTCAAAACCGCATTTTTGGGTTTTTAAACGCTGGTAAAAAAAATTGTCATTTTATTGCAGCATTGGGGCATATACATATAGGTGGACTAGAAATCTGCTATAGTCGTGCAAAACTAATTTATTTCAGGTAATAGGTAATTACTTATTAACTTCATCAACATTTAACGAGAGAAAACAATGATATACATCGGAGTCAATATTTATCAACCAGTGAAAATTACAGTGCAATAAATAACGGTACCATTGAGTTTAACAAACTACCTCTGGAAATTAAAAATATTTTAAGTTATAACCTATTTAAAAGAAAGATACAAGAGTATCTTAAGTACTAAATGTTTTGTATTCTCAAAAAAATTTCAATATACTAAAAAAAATGTGATACTTATTTAATTTAATTTTGTAATGATTCTAGGAATTTTTTTGTATTTATTTTGTTATATTTTTATATACAAATAATTGTATTTATGTAACGTATTATAAACATTAATATATTTTATTTTTTTATGTGCAATATTGAAATAAAGTTATTAAAGTTCTTATTATTATTATTTTAGGAATTTAACACAATATTAACGAAAGTCAAGGCATGTCGAAATTCCCGTCCCCTAACTTTCGTCTCCACCGATCCGGGGCAATGTCTCAAAGGGATTTACTTAATGAAAACCGACTCAACCGCTACCAAAGACTTTGGCAAATATTTTAACATTTTTGGCAACGATGATGGTAAACCGAGTACGTATTAAGCTTGAAAGAGCGCTTTAAGTGGTTTTTTTTTCTACGCCAATAAAGGGTTGTATCTTTATATTTTTTGTCGTGGCATTATCCTTAGTCTTTATGAGTACCTATGTATTATTTTAATTGTATTTTATTTTTTTGGCCGTCTATGGGGAATTTTAAGTTTTATGTAATTTTAATTTAGAAATATTAATGTTAAGAATAAGCTCGATATATGTAACCACATCCCATACAGATTCACGCCGGCGAGTCGCGGCGCAAAGGCTGACTTACGTAATTCTCCTTGCAACGGGAGATAAAACAGTCGAAATGTAACAGCAAAGCACTCGGGTTATTA